TATAAATAGATATATCCTTTAGGTCTTATTGCCTCCTGGAAATATGGTGTTCGGGAAGAAATTCCTAGCATTCCTCATCAAGTCTATAGCACCAGGAGACAAAATGAAATTGTAGAGGGGTTGATGTTGGAAGCATGCTCTATGACTGAGCAGAGAGGCCTAGGAGTTGAGGAGCTGATAAGATCAGTATGTCCCCTTACCTGATTTGCCTCATGTGCTACAAATTATATTATATCAGCTTCACTTGCACAAACATTCTAGTTTCGGTTTTCTCTTCCCAAATAGAAAGCTTGTGGACAATTTCATACACATTTTTTCCACACGTTTCTCTACCAACCTCTTAAGTCCCTACACATACAGGATATTTAGATTATTCCTGACTTTACCTAACCCATTCTTTACCTCTAGTTATGCTCTGTTAGCCAAAGGGAGGCAATGGTATGAGGTGTGTGGGAGAAAAGAGAGAGCAGTCAGGATATTTTTCCAATAGTGTTCCTGCTTAGCCATTGCATTTCTTACTTAGATGCACCCTTCCTTGAAATCAGCTTCTGCTATGTGGCCCGAATTTATAGTTCCATTACTACTGGTTGCCAACTACTTTATTTGTCTCCTTCATGCCTTCAATCATAGTAATGGTGAGAGCTTATCTCTATGGTTAGTTTTTTTTGTACCTCATCATTCCTTGGTTGTTGTTTTTTCCTTTGAAACCCAAACAGACCTCTCTATATAGTCCCTCCATTAATGCTTCTTTAACTGAACCATCTGTTTTTTGCTTCTATAATATATTACTCCATAATACAGATGAGGAAACGTAAGTACAAATAGATCAACATCCAACTTCTCTTAATAAATTATGTAATAAGGGTCTGAATCCAGGCAATCTAATGTAGTGTCTGTGTACCCAAAAGTTCCCCTATATTTCAGTTCATGGAGACTCATTGTTAAGGGCATTCCAAATGTATAGGACAAATGAAGCATCCTTTATTCTGGTGCCACTAAACATTTAGTGTGTATATATATATATATATATATATATATATATATATATATATATATATGATAATATTCATATTATATGCTCATCCAGCAGCTTTATGAGTTTGATTTGTTTTCTTTTTGTTATTCTACCTTTAGAAGAATGCACTAGATGGTACATTCTAAGGGTATGCTACTCCTGTAGGTCTTGTGTCTGCATTTTAAAATACTGCGTAGAATAATATTCCAAATGTATGTGTCAGTCCTGTGAGTTTGGTTAACGGTTATCTGGCCCTGTAGGGAAGAGCTGCTTTGAAAAATCTGAGGAAATTGTATTTTTCAACCTGTAAGACTGAATGGCAACCATTTTATTATAGAGAGCAAATCTCTTTTTCAATTTAAATATTGGAAGGAAAGGGTGAATAGAAAGACAATATTCTCTACAATTAGCTAAGAACCATGTGAAAGAACTAGCTTAGAGGAATATGTCTTAGGAGATATTAGTTATCAGCACCATCCAGAGAAAGCCCTCATAAAGCCACTAGCTGTATGCCAGTTTCGCCTAGTCACTCAAGCTAATCGATTCAGTTCTCAAAGGATTCGGACTTTAGAGCCTAGCGTAGAATTTCTCATAAAAAGTATACAAACATCCAAGCATGAGTATTGGAGCCAGCTTAATAGTAATAATTCTCAGGGTAAAATAAGAAATTGCCATCCTGGTCTGTAAGCAAATCTCTTGTGAGTCTGATCAAGTTGCCCCTGAGGGAGTTATCTTGATAGGTACATGTGTTTTTCCCCCTAATCCTAAAAAGCTGAACCCAAGTCCTGCACCCCCGTATGCCATAGATTCTCTGAGAGGCTTGGTCTAAGAACCTTAGTCCATCTAATTCTGACCCCTGTGAACTGACTGTAAGTAGTTCTTAAGAGACTGGACATTGTAATCAGAAAAGCCCAGCTTGACTTTTGTTCCTGCTACTGCCCAGCTGTGTGACATTGGAGGCAGCTTAGTTTGTCAAAGGGGGATAGCAATGCCTGTTTCTCAGAGTTATGGTGACGAGGGAATGAAATGGTATCTGTATCTGTGCGTGAACCGCTTATAACAGCTATTATTATTATTGCCATTAGAATTGATAAGCACAATTTAAACCTGTCTATGATTCCTAGGAGTTACTACAGAATCTTGTAATCTTGAATTAGCATTATGACTAGTAATCATCATTTTACTCCAGATGAGTACACGAACAACTGCATGGAGATCTGCAGTTAATAAATGTTAGATTTACATGCTTTTATGAAACTTTTAATGGTGAGAGAAAAATTATTACTAATATATTTGATCACCAGATAATTGACAGAAATGCTAAAAAATAAATACATATTTCAAAAACATTTCAGTGTAAGAGTAGTTTTAAGATTTAGGTTGGGAAAGTTTCTTAAAACTGTAGCAGATATATTTGAGCTATTTTAATTACAAATGCTTAAATTTTAGTAGGAGATTTATAAAAGACATTTCCTTATTGAACAAGTATGTATTGTTATTACATACTAAACAATGTCTAGAATTTGTGTATATAAAGAGTATTAGGGGTGAGGGGACAAGGGCAAGTCCCGGGGGGTAGGGAAGGCCGGGGGGAGGTCAGTGGGGGAAAAAAGAGAGATATATGTACTACTATTTGTAATACCTTAAACAATAAAAAAAGGTAATAGGAGAAAAAAATGTCTATTCTTAAGGAGCTTATATTAAAATACATTTAATCTTCAACTTTGGTTATTTTCTTGCACTATGATTTATACATAAGAACTTGTATTAAATGGGAAAAACAGACTTTAAAGAAGTAGAGATTTAATTATATGGAGATTATGAGATATACATACCTATCTATATTCTAACCTATTATAGAAATAAAAGACAAGCATGGAATCTGATAAAATTATTTTACTAGACCTGGATATGAGTTGGCTTGGCAATGCATATGTGGCCAGGAGAGAAAAATAGAGCACTATGGAAGAGAAAACAGTTAGCCAAGAAGAATAACACTGCATGAAGTATTTGAAGACCTGAAAGAAGTATAGAATACAAAATAAAAGTAGGTAGTGTGCATTTGAGCAGATAGGTAGTGGCAGATTATATGGTGTTTTGGGAAGAATAGGCTCACAAGACACAATTTGCTATAGGAAGACAAGGTCATGGTCTAAATAGGATTATGATGATTCAGTATCTTGACTGGGCACTGTAATCAGAAAAACCAAGCTTGACTTTGGGTCCTGCTACTGCCCAGCTGTGGGACATTGGAGGCAGCTTAGTAGACAGACTTACATGAATGGGTATAGAAAGTGGATAATTGTAGGAATAAAGTATTTCCTATGGAGACCATGTTTACTAGTAATTCCTGTGACTATAGATTATATATTTTAAAAACTATCTCTTAAATTTTAAATAAAAACAAAGTCATTTGTTTATTGGTCTCTTGGAAAATACAAATGGAGTTGAATTCTTATGTTTTAAAATATTATAAAATGCAAAAGTGAGAGATAATACTGAAAATGTAGGAAAGATTATAACTCTAAAATCATCCACTGCAGAAACCAAAGGAAGAGTACAGAATGCAGTTTGGCATCTATAGTAGAATTCCAGAAGTCGAGGGATCTGTACCATAGGCTAGGAATCAGCATCAGAAGGCAGCCGTGAGGGAAACTCAGGGCTGATGAAGACATATCAGTTGTATGCCCTCCCAAGACTGGAGTTGACAGCGAGAAAATAAAATCAAGAATTAGCAGTGCCAAAAGCTGATTTGGCAATATACCTCAGGGACTAAAAGATCTGCTGAAAAATCCGTATTTGTTTATAAGTTTTTGCATGTATTTGGAAATGCACTAAACCACATCACCTACATATTTTTGCAAAAGGAGAAACCGTAGCATGGCTTCCAGGCTATGATTAAAGTAAAGTAGAACTGTATTCTAGTATTGAGAGAAAGTATTAAGAAAAAGTCCCTTCAATTAATATTTTATCATTCATTGTAAATGACCATATCTCTTATAAATGCCAACGTATTATGCCTTGAACTGGGCTTAATTCTCAGACCTACTAGACAAAATATCATAGATTTTGAATGTTCCAAATATTAGTGAATGAAATTTCACAGAACTTATCAAACCTTATTAATATGAGATGTACTGTTTTAATATGAGTGAGAGAAAAAAAGATCCAAAGCAATTCTCTAAAAATGATTGCAGAAGTTCATTTACTAAAAAATCCTTAAATGGTCATAGTCCAGCTGTCATCTGCAAAAAGTTAAGTCTGCCTGGGATAGTAATGACAAAGCTACACGGAAGTACACGAATCTGCCTCCAGAATGATTGACTACTGAGGAGATCAATGAATTTAGTCAGTAACTAAATGTTTAAAACACATATCCCAATTATAATGTGCATTGATGTGGGTGTATATGTAAGTGGTAATTAAATATGTTTAGAGAAAGTCTCAGAACTGATCATGGGATTTTCTAAACTGAAAATATTCTAAAGTAACTTAAATTATTAGAAATCACAAGAAAAGCCTTTTTCAGATGTTTTTAAATAATTCATAATGTCTTTGAAGTAAAGTAAAGTTCATTTACATTTAAATGAACGCCTGTCCGTGGCCTTAGTTCTCCTGGTGGCCAGGAGGGTGTCATGACAGCCGTAAAATCCTCTCATCAGCTACATGTGAGACCAGTCTCCCTATTTTCTTATTCCAGGGCCAGAGCACTCCAAAGCAGGTCTGAGATAGATGGCTTGAAAAAGGAAAGAGAGACAGAGACAGAGGCAAAAGGAGACAGAGCAATGGGGTAACAGAAAGAATATAGCAACATGTGCACATAGTCTAACATAAGTAATAAAGAATCCTATATAATAAAAGGCTAATATGCAAATAGACCAAATGGTGGAACAACTGAACAACCAGTCACAAATTATTGTGCTGACCACCAGGGGGCACGTGCAGAACATGGTGGGTGTTGGCAGCAGGAGGCAGAGTGCGGAACATGGTGTGCATTGGCCGCGGTGGGATGATGGAGCAGGTGAGCAGGGGTGCCAGACCAAGGCAGAGCTCTGGTTGCTGTAATCAGGGCGAGCCTCTGATGGTTACTAAAAATTCTTTGCTCCCACGCAATGTGGTCCCGCCCAGTGCTCGCACCTGCTGCCGACCACACTCACACCCGAAGCCGACACCAGGCCTGCTCACGCCTGCAGCTGGCACTGGAGCCGCTGCTTGCACCCGCTTCTCCACCTCCTCCTGCTCCTGAGGGGCGATTGGGGCTGGAAGCCACCACTCGCACCCACTGCCAATGACAGCCCCACTCACATCCATTGCTGGCACCGGCCCCGCTCGCACCTGCAGCCAGTGCCCAGGGCCAGTCCGGATCACTCGGCACCATTAGTGGGTGCGAGCAGCAGCTGCTGCCCCGATCACCCCTCAGGAGCAGGGGGAGGTGGAGAAGCCCTCAGGGGCAATCAGGGCTGGCAGCCACAGCTTGCACCCGCTGATAGCGCTGGCCCCACTCACACCTGCTGCTGGCACTGGCCCCAATCACTCCATGCTGTCAGCGGGTGCAAGAGGAGCTGGCGCAGTCAGCACATGGGAGTGGTGGCAGTGGGAGTAGGGCTGCCTGGCAGACGGGACCAGGGGCTGTGGTGGAAGGGGCTGGGCGGGGACATAGAAGATGGCCAGAGACCTGCCCCTGTGCCCACCACAGCCTCGTGGCCCACAGTTCCTTTCAAGGTGCAATAATTTGTGCACTGGGTCCCTAGTAGCCTATAAAGAAATTAAAGAGCCCTATTCCACCTTTCCTCTACCATCCTGCCTGCTTCCCACAGGTACTCACTTTTATCAAGTTGAATTTTTAATTTTTCTGACCCTTACCTCCAGGTTTCTAAATATTTTTAAATTTTAGACATTAACTATCTCCTTCCTAGTTTAAAATAAGTCAAAATTTGACTACCTGGTTCTTCGGCCATTTGTCTTCCTTCAACTATAGCTATTTTCTGAGTCATACTGTTGACTATAATTTTCTTTTAAAAAATATTGTTAGCATTTCTGTTTTCCACAGAAACAAGGAAGTGGCCTTGAGCTAATTCTCTACTCCTTCATCTAAAACATTAGATAACAACAATGGGAATGAAAACAGACCCCTACGGTTTACCCCATGAGTGAGACAGAATCAGGGAATTCCAGAAAATTCCCACTAAGATGTAAGCGAGAAGGAAGGAGAGGGATCTCCAAATCTAACATAATTATTGCAAGCTAGAGGACCAGTGCATGAAATTCATGCACTGGGTGAGGGTATCCCTCAGCCCAGCCTGCACCCTCTCCAATCTAGGAATCCTCGGGGGATGTCCGACTGCTGGTTTAGGCCCGATCCCACACAGGATCGGGCCTAAACCGGCAGTCAGACATCTCTCTCATAATCTGGGACTGCTGGCTCCTAACCACTCACCTGCCTGCCTGCCTGATTGCCCCTAACCTGACAGCCTGATCACCTTCTAATCACTCCCCTGCCAGCCTGATTGACACCTAACTGTTCTCCTGCCAGCCGGATTGCCCTCAATGCCCTCTCCTGCTGGCCTGATTGTCCCCAACTGCCCTCCCCTGTCAGCCTGATCACCCCCATTGCTCTCCCCTGCCAGCCATCATGTGACAACATGGGGCAGCCATCTTGTGGCAGCCATCTTGTGATGATGTGGGGCAGCCATCTTTGTGATGGTGTGAGGGTCAATTTGCATATTACCTCTTTATTATATAGGATAACTGTGACAGTGTGGCAGGAGCTGGGGGAGCAGGAAATTGAGGAATTCAAACAGAAGGAGATTAGCTGTGGTCAGATAACCCCACAACTAGGACTAGCACCCCCTTACCCCCAAATGAGAGCATCCCACTTCCACCCACAGAAAAAAACGATTTAATAAATTCTGAGTACAGAAGGACACCAAAGTAATGCCAGAAAGGGCTAAGGGGAAAGACATGATAAGGTGCAGAAAAGGTAATGTGAGAGGGCCTTATGTTAAAGAAATTGCACATCCTGGGAGCAATGAAAAAAGTTCTTGAGCTGTTTAAATGTATCCCCTTCTCCTCAAGGGACCCAGGAAAATCTTAAAAATGTAAATATGAATTATCTAAATATTATACTGAGCTAAAAAGATTTCTGATTATATAAAATATTTTTAATGATTGAAGATAATATCAGATTTTCAGCAAGAAAAACAGGAATGACCAGCAAAGAAATTCAGACAATGATAATATTTTGAACTTTGAACATATAATCATACTGGTAAAATATAAACTTATATCAAGTAAACATTAAAGATAAAATTAATGGATTAATAGTTCCAAAACATATTAATCACCTTGTCTTGATGAAAATAAAAAGCGAAAACTTACAAGTTGCTGTCACAGTAATGTGACATTATAATATTTCTTGTGCTCATGCCTTCCTTAAATGGTTCAGTGATCTTCACATATTTATGCTCATTAGAAAATTTACTTCAAATTTTATTCTGTCTTTACTCATAACTGGTCAAAGAAGATTTTCTGACAATTATAATATTGAATTGTTTTTACCACAAAGCAACATATATGCAAATTAATAGGAAAATCTTATAAAATGAGTTTAGCAGAGATTCCTAAAATTCCCATTTCATGATAAATTCCAGAAATTGCTAGTAGAGCAGTGTCTTTATCTGTCAATGACCTTGCTTCTTCTGGATCGATTCCATTGGCTTTTCTATATTTCCACAGTTTAATATATATAACCTGGCAATTAAAAAAAAAGTTTGAAATATTCTTATTCTGAAAAAAACAACAAAAGCTGGAGAAAATGGCTAAATGATAGAAAACTTTGATATCACTTGAATTGTTGCTTTGGAATAAATATATAGTTTTGGAAACAAGTCTGTTTGGAGACAAGTGTGTTCATTTTTTTTGTATCCTTATTTGAAATGTGATTCTTAATTTGTATATGGAAATTCCACTTTCTTATGTGTTGTTGTTACTGACATTGAAAAATTAATGGTCTTCTACACAATATCTGCTATCAATCTTCAGAAGCAGTTTTAAAGCTTAATATCCTATATAATAAAAGCCCAGCAACCAAAACAGTGTAATGACCAGAACGACAATGGCCCCTTGTCCTGGCTGGCCCCGCCCCCCAGAGAGCGGTTAGGGGGGATCAAGCAGGCAGGCAGAGTGGTTAGGGGTAATCAGGCAGGCAAGTGGTTAGGGGTGGTGAGGCAGACAGGCAGGTGAGTGGTTAGGGGTGATCAGGCAGGCAGGCAAGCAGTTAGGTGCCAGTGGTCCCAGATTGTGAGAGGGATGTCTGACTGCCGGTTTAGGCACAATCCACAGGGAACCCTGTGAGAGCAGGCCTAAGCCAGCAATCGGACATCCTCCGAAAGGTCCTGGATTGCAAGAGGGTGCAGGCCAGGCTGCGGGGACCCCTTCCCCCATGCAGGAATTTCATGCACCAGGCCTCTTTATCCCAGGGGGGAAAAGAATAATAACTCAGAAATGAAAAATCACATAAAGCAAATCACAAAATCTAGGCAGAATCTTTGGTATTCACATTATCTTTTGGATAACATAACACATCACAGGCTACAATTAACTTCCCAAAGTTTCTCTTTGCTGTGCACACAGCTCAACAATGAGCAGCTTTTGTGGGGAAATCTTTATGCATTTAGACCAGTATTCTGCAGCATGGTCACATGGCAGAAGGAACAGAACTGGAGGAACCCAAGTTCTGCATCTTTGGCTTTACAATAGCTGTATTCATTGTTCATCTGAATTTGTTGTTTATGAACAAGGATATGTGGTACCACTAGGATTAGAGACACAATCTGAACCAGAAGAAAGCTAGCCAATTTTGAACCATTACAAATTTCCTCTTGAAAGCGTCATGTATAGCTGAGTCTGCCTATTCTAGGCTAGATGTTCAACAGAGTTCTCTAACCTCCAAGTACAAAAAATGTTTATTAAAGATAATTAATGTATATGTGGTGATATGAAACATATTTTTGTGTGTAATTAAAACTCAGCAATACAAGTAATTGTTTACAAATTAGATGAAGAAAAGATTTAGGGGTAATTATTTTTTACAGGCAGTATTGAATTTGCTGACTCCTAATGATAATTAAAAGCAGACCAAGTGCTAATAAATGTTATTATTGATTAACATTCCTCTATAGAAAAAGCATTCGTTTGTTGCCTACACCCAGATTTGACCATTCCCACCACACTGCTGTTGGATTTCAACTTATAGGAATTAGAAGAAAACAAAGTTTTACTTCACTCAGTGATTCTGTTGTTTGTAGTAATGTCAGTGTTTTTATTTTTGAAACCGTTTTTATAAGGAAGAATACGCAGTTATGCTAATTATGTTATGAATAAATATATTCAAAGAGATGCAATTATAAAATCAAATAGTGAAAATATAATAATGTTAAAATTAAACTGACAATATTATGAAATATTGTTATCTATCGACTTAAAATATACTCTTAAAGGAATACATCAGTAATAAACACTTCTAGTACCATACTTGTCTCTAAGAGAGTTACCCACTGAACAGAACCTGGAATTTTCAGAAAGGCCTGATTCTAATTCTTAAGAAGGGGAAATGAAAAGGAGTCTGCTGTAAGTCTCAAAAACAGAAAGAGGGAAGCATTAAAAGTAATAGGCCCAGGAGTCAGCCTGAATTTATGCCTATTGACCAAACTGTGCTGATGTGAACACTGTAAAAGAAGTAATTGGAATAACAATTGAAACACATGTAATCAATAAAAATGAAAGTGTACATAATATATTTATTTAAAAAGAAATCCAAATTTTTTTTGTAAGCATTAGGGAAACCAATTGAAACATTATGTTTTAAACTTGGAAAGGGAAAATATATATTATATATATTTTTAATAGAGTAGAAGAAAGTGGTTCGAGTTTGCTATAAAATAATTGATTCAAATAGAAAATTATTGATCGTCAACACCAATTAAATATATTGGTTCAGGCAAAGGTTATCAAGTGGTGTTA